ATTGTTTCATTCTTTTCTTCTGCCGTCGATTGAGTAGATGTAGTCGATAGTGGTGATAAACCTAAGTTAGGAAAAGAGTTAATTGAGAGTGAAAGAGTAAGAAAATCATCTTCATTGTTATTCATTTTTTTGATTCTCCAAAAAGAAATGAACAAGAAAATTAATGAAGATTACTCTTTGATAGAAGATGCTATATATATATATAATAAAAAAATAAATTAAACTGATAATAACAACTTTGTAGTAAAAATAGGACATATAGTTTTATTTAATTTCTATAAAAGTTAAAAAAAAAACCACTAGTTGACGTAAAAATAAAATTTAACCTTGGTAATTATGTGTCATTTCTGTTATTTTACAATTGATCCACAATATTTGCAACTATCTTCCTTGCAAAATGTACATTTATTTATAATGTTTTGTTTAGATATGTCTTGATTAATGCTTTTGTTTCAAATAAAAACATATATGTTTCTATGATCAATAATTTTATACGCGATTTTTCACTTAATAATAATTAACTTATTTTTTTTTAATTAGAGTTATCTTTTTGTATAATTATTGGTATTATATATAAGCAAAATAAAATATTATTGACAAACTTCTTTTAAAAAAATTGATACTACCATATTATTAATACTCGAAACATATGAAAATTTAGTTGTTATTAATTACGTTACAACATGGCTACAAAAATTCAATAAAATGATACATAGAAATCCATAGGGAGTCAATAATTTCTTTATTTTGAATATATATATTTGACGTTTTATAAATTAATAAATATTTACTATTAAAACGGGACATAAGTCATAATATAATTACCTTTACAATTTAGTTAATAACAATAACAACTACTACAAAGTCCAAACAATTTGAAGGTTATGAAAGTGTGAGAAAATATTTTTGAATAAAAGATTATATGAAAAATTTTAAAATTCTTTTTACCTAATAAAAAGAATGAGTGTGTTTAATTAACAATTTGTAGAATTGACCCTTTTTTGTCGAGTCCATACCTTTAAATTTTTTGAATGTTTCTTTGTACTGCAAAATTATATATCTTTGTACTGCAACATCATATTTTGTTGTACTGCAAAATCATGGAAATGTTAATTTAAATTTTTAAAAAATTATGTAATTATATTCTTTGAGATAATCATACTTTTTGAAATTTCTATTATTTAAATAAATTACAAAAATATTTCTTTTCCTTCTCTGTCTTAACATCCAAATTCATCCCTCCATATATATTTAATACGTTAATAACTTTATATGTATAGGATGGATTAACATTACACACCTTCAACTAGAAAAAAATAATAATAATAAAATAGAATATGAATTGTTACGGTTTTAGTACACAAGAAAAATATCGAGTAAAGAAATATTCTTTAATGTTTCAAAACAAATTAAAACGTTCTTTATTTTTTTATTTAAAAAAGCTTAAGATAATTTTAATATTACTAAAAAAATTAGGCCCTTCAAAATTGAAGGCCTAAGACATATGCCTCATATTTAAAAGCATTAAGTCATCCCTGATTTAATATGATATAATGACTTTCAGGTCGTCAAAATGATATATAATAGATTCTAGTTGTTTCCTACGTAAATAAGATTTGTGTTTCACATTATCGCTGTATTTTGTAAGTTGAACAATTATTATATGTTAAATTTGATTTTTTTAGCTGGAAAGATTAAGTGTGTGCGCCATTATATTATTAACTCAATATGCATGCTTTTGCAATCGGCAGCACAGAAGCAGAAAGTACCTATATTCTCTAGACTGATTGAGAGGAATGCTTTGCTTTTATTCTACATATAACACAATAATATCTAAAGGCATTTTTAAGTTGTGGATAATGAAGGACTATGGTGTGAGGGAATTTTGGACTAACTTTACTATAATACAAGATATCGATCTTTTTCTTTCTGTTTTGGATATTTTAGTTCTAATTTCAGGACAAGTGGAAGACCATTTGATCTGTGCCCTGAATGTGATACTTATAAGCGAGCAATTGCTTATGCAGAGAGCTTCATCTCACCTACTTACATAGTATTTGCATATGTTTTCTTCTTATGTAACAAATGAATTTGGGTTTCTTAATGTATTTATGAAAGCTGTTGTCAGTTTATTTATTTCAGATTTCTTTGCTAAAAACTGATTGATTGATTGGCTATATGTAATCGTACATAGTAATTACGATTAGTACACTGTTGATCCACTGGTAAATGTCATGTTCATAGATTGAAGGAATAAAAATCACTTTTTTAACTGACGGAAATACCCCTCCTGGTATGTGTGTGTATATATAGAAAAAAACCCTAAAAAATAAAGAGAAACCTGAAACCCTAGCTGCTAGCATTTGAGACGATGACAATGTTCATGAAGATGGAGAAGTGTACGTGCTCCCATCGTCGCCATGCCCATGTAAATTTAGCAAGCAGAAGAGCGAAGAAATCCATTCTTAAGAGAATAAAAGCTAATCTTGCTATTACCAACACACAAAAGTTTAGCAATGGAGAAGAAGAAGCTATCAAAAAATTCAATCTTTCCAGATGCCAACACAAGAAGAAGAAGAAGAATCAAATTTGCAAAGGTATCCCCTATTTCTTTCTTTCTTTCTTTCTTTCTGCCATGTGTGTGTTTTGATGAATTTCTTTCAGGGAAGAGCCACCAGATGGAGATTCATCAGGTCACTTCTCACTTCAATATACTTTTATTTGTACATACAATTTGAACATAAAAAACTGTTTGTTTTTAAATAGTTGTTCTTCATTTTGATATATTGTCCAATCTAGGTCCCAACAATTCA